AATGTGAGAAATATGATGTTGGATGCACTTTAAAATACTTCTTGGAATTACGAGTAATGCCAAAGATCATTATACTCGTATTTGTGTATGATAATGTTATCATTATTCGCGCCCCATTTCGCCCAGTGCACTCTGTGACACAGCATCGTCTACTTAGTTAAGTTGTTATTTTTATTAAGGACCGCCCTAGGCGAGTGCTTGGGAGGCGTGGCACAGGCCATTATGACAACTCAGCCGCTGGACGAGACCGCCATGAAGATTCCCAGCAGTTACAACGAACACCGTCTCTGATAATGCCCTTGGGACTGGATGGTTGTAATGGAGAGAGTGCTGGAGAGGGGGCTTCCAGTTGGAGCTGGATGGCTGGGGGCTTCAGGTGGGCTGGATGCGGGCGTGCTGCAGGGAAATTGGGGAAAAGCGTTTGGAGCTCCCCTCGCTTTGGGGGAATCGGACTGGGGCTGGCGGGCAGTGGTTAGGGGGTTAGAGGGGCTATTTAGGAGGGGCCAGGTCCTGAGTAGCATGTAGCAAGTTGGAGGGGTTTGGAGCTGGCAAGTTGCATAAGGCTAAGCAGCACTGCTGGCAAATGAATGCCAAACACTAATCAAGTTTAATGAGCGCAGTGAATGAGTAATCGAGTGTCCTGATTTGATCACAAGACCCCTCCCCGCCTACAATCCGCCTTTTTTCGCACCCCGACGTCACGAGCTGATTTGATTTACTTTGCAGATGCGATTTTCGCACTGGCATGTGAGTATGTGAATATGCCCACTCAGGGAAGTGTGCAAAAAGTGTGTCAAATTACTCACTCTTGGCGGAATCGTGGAGTGCCAGTGAACACTGTGGCTAATGACACATAAGTGAATTGGTTTCTCTACAGGAATCGAATAATAACGGAGTGTTGTAAAACAATTATATATTCAATGCATTTTATGCGAATAATCACTTACCAGTAATATTCATAGCCATGCCAGTTTAGCATGAAATGCACACAATCTGAATAAACACATTCACTCCACTCACTCACTTATTCATTTGTCGCTTGAGCATCATTTGCGAGTAACTGCTGCTGCTCGCCTATTCATTCGCCCAATCAGTGAGTCATTCACTCATTTATTCACTGGCAGCTGGTTGAATGCCCGCTAGGCATTCGGCGCGTCCTGTTCCCGTACCGCTGTCGATGTCCTTGCCATTGTCCTTTCTCAGCTGTCATGGGTGGGCGATGGGCGCTGGGCGTTGGGCGTTGGGCGTTGGCGTTGGGTGGGCGCAATGAAAATACCTGCAAGGAAATTATACGAAAACTGAACAAGCCAAAAACAACGGAAGGTTGTTATTTTAGAGTTCAAGTTAAAGTTAAGCAGCGCCCGCGGCATTCGACGTTCTTAACGCTCAGCCAGGACTTCACAGCAAGGACTCGCAGTAAGTGGGCGATGGAGGATACAGGGATCCAGGCATCCAGGCATCCAGGGATCCAAGGATTCCGGGATGAGGACGAGGACAAGGATTGGGTAGATGCGACAGCAATGAAGTGCACTCGAGATGTGAATGGGCTGGAGTGTTTTGGGTGCTCTGTTTGTGTCCCATTTTCTCTGTGTGTGTCTCATTGGTGCTCGGCGAAAAGCTGCTCACTGGCAGAAAAACTCTATTACATGCCAAAAGTTCAAAACGGATTGAATACTGCAAACATGTAGTCGCTTCGAATATTTGTATGGGATCGAAATGCAAGCCAGGTAGCTCAATGCAACTTGCAGTAACGTACAGCTAACGAAATTGCTTGCAGTGCATATCCATCCAACTAGGATATCCTAGCCCACGTAATATCAAGCTGACTCCCCCCGCCACTCGTTACTCGTATCTTTGTGGAACAATTTTGCCTGAATGCAAGCGGCAAAATGGTTGAATGGGCGAATGAATGAATGAGTGAATGGGCATATCCCTGCCAGCCTCCTCGTCCTGCCTTCGGCGTCCTGCGAATTTTCCTATCTGCTGGCCCATTCGAATGGCGCTGAAAAGTTTCCCTCACTTTGACTTAAGTGCTCCGCCCTCCTCAAGTGAACAATTCGAGTGTTTGTGTGCCGCTGTTGCTGGTGCAATTAGTGAAGAGCGCACTATTATTATTATCATTATGAATTTTAAGCAATCAACTGCGAGAGCAGCAACAATTAAACTTAAAGTTGCCGACTTGGCGAACTCCTCGGCCGCCCCTCGCAGGCCCTCGCCAAAATGTAAACAGTTGGACCGCGAAAAGCTATGGAAATTGAATTGGCGCTCTTTTTTTTTTGTGTTTTCCCGTGTTTCCCGTGTTTTCCCGTGCTTTCCTCGTATTTATTTTGTTGTTTACCTATGATAATTGTGATGTTTATTTATGGGAAAAGTCAAAAGTGGGGAAAAGACCAAAAACCAACGTTATGTTGGCGGTAAATGTGCACAACTTTAGGTAAATTTGTTCTATCAAAGTGAATTGTTTTTACCTATTTTATTTTTATTCACTTCTGCCTTTATTCAACTGCTGTTCTTTGTCCATAAGCTTTAATAGTTTGGCCAAAAATGTCGATAAAAAAGCAAAATAGTATCACTTAACCAGGGAAACTTGGCTTTCAGTTGACTTACCATCTGGATTTCGTATTAATTTAAAAGCCCATTTGTCAAGCCATTGTTGGGCGTTTCATCAAAATTTCAGCATTCTTTGATGTGTATTCGTATCTTTTAATTGGACCGAACAGAACGTGGCGACTTATGGCTGGTGAGAAAGGGGAAATTGTTGCACAATTAAGTAAACTTCCTTCGGTGCGGATATAATAAGGAGTTTTCCACCATAGTTTCCTTCGCTTCATGGCGACTTTCTCTACTTCTCTTTCTTATTTACAGCGCAATCAAATTTAACTGTTTAAACAAGCGATGAAAAGATTCTGCTCTTCACCCACACACACACACACACTCACACACACATAGCAGCATTCACACATATGCGACGGTTGGTGCAGTCATTGTCATTGCCAGAAAAGTGGGTGGTGGGTGGTGGGTGGGTGTGGAAAATGCAAAACAATTTCAGGCGAATTAGCGTAATTGTCTCGCCGCTGCTGTTGCTTCGACTTCGGCTTCTTCTGAGACAAAAGGGCCAAGGAGAAAGGAGAAAGTGGAAAGGAGAGAGGGAGGGGAGAGCGTAGGAGCAGCAGCAGGGCTCAAGCTACTTAATCCTCTAATTTGTGTGACTGTGTGTGTGTGTGTGGGCCGCGCCCCTTTTCTGGGCTTTCTCTGGCCCGGGCGAAGCAAAGTTTGCCCTCATTTATATGCAAAAATGTAAACCAAAAAATCAGCGAGAATGTTAAATCCAACAAAATGCATTTAACACATAAAAATTTGCATAGAAAGTGCCTTCGGTAAGCCCCCCCGCACCCTGCACCCCTGACACCCCGACACCACGATCTCCCATCCAGAAAACCCCATTCCATTCCCTGGTTCTGTATTCGCATACCGCACTATCTAAGTGCGAGCAGCAGAACAATTGAAGTTAATTTTATTTTTATTTTTACTTCCGGCACCCGCTACTTGACTATTATTACACTAAGCCTTAGAGTGTGTGTGTGTGGCTGCCACGCCCACTTTAAGTAGTTGTTTCTGCAAGCCTCCGGTTAAAATGCGCCCTTCTACGCGCTTCTCAAGGGGTTTAACTTACAGATAGAATCTGGCCATTTAATTAAGGCCCGTTTGGTATATATACTGATAAATAATATTATACTGATACTGACATGCCGATATCTTAAACTTAAAATACCTTTTCTGCCCTTTGGCCAAACTGCGCCCTTCTACGCGCTTCTCAAGGGGCTTACCTTACAGATACAATCTGCCCAGCAAATTAAGGCCCGTTTAGTATATACTGAAAAAATAATTTTATACTGACATTAACATTATACTGACATACCGATATCTTAAACTTAAAATACCTTTTCTGCCCTTTGGCCAAACTGCGCCCTTCTACGCGCTTCTCAATGGGTTTACGTTATAGATACAATCTGCCCATTAAATTAAGGCCTGTTTAGAATATATTATATATATATATACTGATTATTATATTATACCGATATTTTAAACTTAAATTACATTTTCTGCGCTTAGGCCAAAGTGCGTCTTTCTATGCGCTTCTCGATGCATTTACGTTCATTTCGCTATATAGCATTTCTAGGAACCTTTGGTATCCCAAACTTTGACTACTTAAACTCGGTGGCTGTTAAAGTGCGCTGCTCAAGATTTCAACTTGTTGGACACTTTTTAACGTTTCACTTTCGGAATGGCAATCTTTTCCCATCCCCATTCCCCGCTCTCTGCCATTTTATATCTGTCCGTTTCTTATTATGTATTTGTAACCAATTGGTTGCCAAAACCCCCCGCTCTGCATTCACGCTCAGTCAATTTTTTGTTGCCACTGCTGCTGCTGCTGCTGCTGCTGCTGCTCGTGTGTCCTTTGTGTTGTTGCTGTTATTGCATGTGTTGAGATTCTCATGGAAATTTGCATACAAATTGCGTCTGGCGCGTAGGAAGCCCTTGGTTTGGTGGGCGGTGGCTGGCTATGTGTACATGAAAACTGGCTGGAAAACTGGGACGTGGACGGGAACGGGAACGGGGACAGATGGGCCGACATGCGTATGGGGTTAACGAAGGGTTAACACAACACAAAAAACACAAAGCCGGAATGAAAAGAGCAAAAATATGAAACATGGCCAACAACGGCAGCACCTGACAACTGTCAAATTCTGTGGGCCACCGTCGATAAATAAAATGGAGCACAATTTTATGACGACGGCGAGGTTATAGAAAGCTTTGACAGATTCATTGCGAGTATGTTGTTATAGTATTAAAAGCACTGCAAACTGGAAGCTGCAAACTGCAAGCTGTTCATGCCTTTGATTGCTGTCATCTAAACTGCAAACTTGGTTGGGAATACAAGCGGCAAAGTAACCCGAACTTTAGCATTAAAGCCACGTATCTGTTCAAATCATTCGAAGACGCATAAATACGGAGTCAAACAGATCACGGGCGATGGACGCAGCATGGAGAACGTCAGCTGGACGATCAGAAAGGGCGAGTACGACGAGGTGGAGCGCTTCCTCCTGGTCGGATCAGATCCAGTGCCCCCTGCACTACGCCGCCTGCTTTGGCCAGCTGAAGCCGCTGAAGTTCTTTGCGCGGATCGGTGCCGAGCTGGACAGGAATCACACCGCTCCTGGCGGCCATCTGGGAGGGGCACACGTTCCTGCTCCAGATGGGCGCCAGTCGCATTCGACGGCTGCTGGCATCTACTGTGGATTAAGCAAAGGAACTTAGTTTTCTGTTTTGGATAGTGGAATGGCTCTGCTACAATGCACTGTTTTATTGGTTAATGCTGGGAAGTATGTACAATTAAGGTCAGTGACAAACAGCAACAAATTGGTATCCGTTGACCAGCGGAGAGCATTTACCAACTGCTCTGGGCCCAGCCGCCCTGAGGAGCCCAACCGCCGGAGGAGTATCCGCCGCCGTAGCCGCCGCCGTAGCCGCCGCCGTAGCCGCCGCTCGATCCGGAGCCGGAGATGACCTTGATGATCTTAACGGTGCCAGCGCTGCCATAGCCACCGCCGCCGTATCCACCGCCGCCGCCGCTGTAGCCGCCTCCGTGGCCGCCACTGTAACCACCGGAGGAACCGCCGCCGTAGCCACCTCCATAGCCACCGCCGTAGCCTCCGCCATGGCCTCCTCCGTAGCCACCGCCAGCTCCGGAATCGGTGATCACCTTGATGACCTTAACAGAGCCGCCGCCGCCGCCGCCGCCACCGTAGCCACCGCCGCCATAGCCACCGCCGCCATAGCCACCGCCGCCATAGCCACCGCCGCCGTAGCCACCTCCTCCGTGGCCACCGCTGTAGCCGCCGCTATATCCTCCGCCTCCTCCGCCGGAGGACCAGCCTGAGCTGAGGGCACCGCCTCCTCCGCCGCCGCCCAGGAATCCCGCATGGGCCATACTGCACACCGCCAGCAAGCAGACGAAAACCTGCAAGAGATTGGCAGGAAGCGCTGAATAGTCGAACTCACAACAGGGTACACAGAACAAAAAAGGTTTCAAAAAAAATGGTTTCACTTTCTGCGAAAGTGTTAATCCGCGGTTGGCGCACCTTCATGTTGGCGAGTTTGAAAAATTGGTTGCTTCGGAAGAACTGCGACTGTGTCGGACTGGAAGGGCGATCTTCGACTGTGGTCTGCAGCGTTTTGGCCGCCGCTTTTATGGCCAGCGACTCGGATGCTCGGTAACCAGCTTGGCTGACTTAACCCTGCCCTGCCCCAACTGCTGCGGCGCACAGTGGTTCGAGCCTCGTCCAAACCAGCTGGTAACTCACTAATCATGGAGGCTGCCAGCTCTGGCTGGTTCAAAGTACATCATCGCAGCAAAACAACGCCAATTGGAGCCTCTTAGCCACTTCAATCAGGGTCCATACGTTCTTAATGGATTTCGGCGGATATTGGTGCGTTGAGGTTGCAATACAACGAATTTTAGACGAAGGTGAGTAATTAATACTGCGATTTCCCTAGGTACCCGAGCTTATATAACTATGTTATATTTGTTTCTTACTGCGCTTCATTTTCCAATTCATACACTGAGGCGGAATAGGGTAAAGTAATTTTTTAATTGGCATTTCCATATACGTATGCACTTACTTGATTTCCCCGCAATACAGCGAAATGATATCACTGTGTGGAGTCTGCTCGTGTTTGACACACTAATTGCCGGTCCACGCGATGGTCCGTTTTGAGTTGCGGCATCATCATTACCATGACCATTACCATTACCATTACCATCACCGTCACCGTCACCGTCACCATCACCACCGTCGTCCAGTTGTCTGCATGGGGGCAACGGCCCTGACCCCACCCCATCCCCATAACCTCCACGCCATCCATGTGCCAACCCAGCCAATCTCCACCCGCGGCTCCAAGCTCCAAGCACCAGGCTCCTCCCTGGATTAGCTGCGGGCTAATTTATGTCGCGGACTGTACTGTGTACAGTGTTGCAACCCAGCTCGGCTGGAGGAAACCCTTTGCAGAGATGGAGACGGAGCACTGCACTTGCGGGCCAAAATCGTTTGATGGCGCATTTTCAGCTCGTTATGCAATTCATCCGAATCGACACAAAGTTGCAAAAATAATAAACAATAGCTGCCAGCAGCATGATCCAATAAACAGGTAGCGATCGCACCACCGCTAGTGGTGGCCATTAAATGGGTGGTGTACCTGGGCACTTTAATAACCAGGTACTTTACTTTGATAGAAGTGGTCACGCTTCATTATGCCTTCCCTCCATTAAGTGCCATGTCGCAAGATTATCCGGCACTCGGTGCAGAAACTGTAGCATTCGATATACTTAGTTGTAGATGCTACGAGTACCTGGAATGCAATCTTAAGAGCACGGCCAGATACTATTGTACCTATCCGTCCCACTTTTGCGCCCATGATCTCGCATGTAATTATTGGTTTCATAAGTTTTTTAATCAACCCTGTGTTAGCACTGTTGCCAAACATCGGTCCCCCAGTTCTCGCACCCAAGTGGGTCCACAAATCAATCTGCGTTTTGGAAGCCACATTTACGTTGAGTAACCATCAGTACGCCGCGGTATCTCTGTGCCCAACTCAATTTCGATCTTGATTAATCCGGCCAACGCGATCGCGGCGCCATTAACTTTTGGCCCGCAGTGGCGTTGGGTCAAGCAGAATGCTATTAATTGCCGCTCCATCAACTCGGCTCGGTTGCAGCAAAAGCTGGAGCTGGAGCTGGAGCTGGAGCTGAGGTTATAGCCAACCTTCACTTCTCGATCCGATAGATGAGCCATACATTTCCCGCTGATTGTCGGCGATTTCGTGTTCGGCTGGAATGGCCCACGGCGTCACGATGGTCGGACTATCGAGGAAAAGCAATCTAGAGAATATTTCGAAGGGGCTTGAACATATTCTTATGTTTGGAAGTCAGTACTGACCCTTTTCAAAGCTGGAGCACAGCGGAAAGCCAAGGCTTTCTTGCTTAAAAACTGTTTAAAACAATGTGGCTTTGCAGAAAACAATTACCCATAATGCATTTCAGTTAGCACAATCGGAAGGCATTTATTTCTGATGAGCATTTCACTATCCACGTTTTATTATGATTTATTGGCGCGCCTGAGCGCTTGCCAATAACAATTAGCGATTATTTGACGAGGTCGGATGTGTATTTATGGCACTTTTAATAGAAAACAACATGAATCCATGTAACGCAAGTTAGGTAACCATTAACTCAATTATATTTGACATTTGGAAAATATCTATGCGCTGGGAAAGCCGAAAGCCGAATGCAAGTCGAATTATAATTATGCATGGGATTAAGTGTATACAATCTTAATTAGTCACCATCTCCAACCGAGTGTCCATTAATTAAGGCATAAAATATGCTCACAAAAAATAGGAGCTCACGGTTTTGTGAATACAAGCAAAACACGCAGAACCGAGAGACTTAAATCCGTTTTCGGCTCATAGCAAACTAGTTACGGCACCATCAAATACAACAATTTAATGATGGAAATTCAAAACAAACCCGAGACGCATCCGCAATTAAGTATTTCGGTGGGGAATTACTTATCTCACAGCATGGCCAGAATGGACATAATTACCAGGCGATAATGGATTCATTCCCTTTGGGAGTTGCTGCTTGCCACGATTTGACCTTGAGCTTAACCCACTGTGAGCCCAGTTTGGATACGCTACGGATAGTTTCCGAAGTCTTAAAAATATGAAAAGTTTCAATATAGCAACGTAAGTCCAAATGAACAATGTGGCTGTCAAAAATTAGTCACATAATCGCATTCAGCGAGAAATGCAAGGTAATTTTATACCTATAGCTTATATAATATAACAATGATATAATATCCCATTTCTATTGCTAGGCTTGCTACCTTAAAACTGGTTATAACTATTTCTGTAATTGCGAGCAAAGCACAAATGTGGCAAAATGGGTTAAGTGGAAAGCGAAACTGGCCAACAAAGATGCTCTTCAAAAACCCCCGGCCATGAGTAATCAACTATTGACTTCCCCTTCGATAGACAAAGAATGAGACAGTGCTGGAGTCTCCATTTTTTCTTTGTGTATTTCTCTGCCTTGTGTATTAGCAAAAAAAGTAATGGTCTTAAGCGCACACACAAAACGCGTGCACTACCTTAAACTAACTTCGAGCATCGCAAAAGGCCAACATCGCCGCACAACTCCGACAACAAAAACAAGCGAGTTGACATCAGCGACTGGGATCCGCTTGGCTGTCCGGGAATCTGCGAGGATCTGTTTACTTCCATCCGTAGCCACCGGAGGACCAGCCGCCGTGGCCACCGGAGCCGATCACCTTTATGATCTTCACATCCTCGACGTGGTGGCCGTGGCCATGGCCGTGAACCTCCTCCTCGATGACCTTGATGATCTTAACCTCGGAGCCGTGGCCGTGGCTATGGCCATGGTCGTGGCCCGCCTCGCTGATCACCTTGACGATCTTCACCTCCTCGGGAGCATGGACATAGCCAGCAGAGTAGCCGCCGGAGTAGCCACCGGCCCAACCGCCGCCGCCATAACCAGCCTCCTCGCTGATGACCTTGACGATGGTGGGGGCGCCAGCTCCTCCGTATGACCAGGCACCGGCATCACCTAATCCGTATGACCAGCCACCGCCTTCTCCGATGAATCCGCATTGGGCCAGGCTGAGGCAGGCAATCAGGCAGATGAAAACCTTGAGACGGATCACAAATCAATATGCTGCGCCCTGATCGGAGCCACCAGGAGCACCTACCTTCATGTTGTTGTCGGTTCCACTTGGGGTCAACGGGCACTTGGCGATGGACGAAGTGGCGATGGACGATTGGGGAGCTTAGCTCGGAAACTGATGACACTGCTCTGCCCTGCGGCTACTATTTATACGGCCCAGAAATGGAGCACTCCGAAGAGAAATGATCGCCCCCATCTTCCGATGCCCACTCCAAATGTGACATTCGCTGACCCAAGAGCTGTATCACTAATGCGCCGATTTTTCCAAGACTCTTAATCAGCAGCGGCGATTAATTATGTGAAGGTCCCAAGGAAGGTGACCCTTGGCCATTCACTTTCACAAGAGCATAGGTAAGCAGATCAAAGAAGTGCGAGTGAGTGACGAGAGATGATCACATTTTTCCTTCATAGTTCTACAATATATTTTGAAAATATTTACGGGAAAAACACTAAAGGCATCACTAAATAAAATAACCAAAGTGCAGATGGCTTGTCTTCAATACATCTTTAATTATATTGATCAAAGTCGAATCAGAAAGTGACCTGGCAACCCTGCCGCAAACAGTCATCGAACATCTGGTTGCCCGGGCGGAAAATAGCTCAACAGGTGTTCCCTGGTGCTTTGGTTTTGCCACACTACCGGTTATCAAGATGCGCGATTTGGGACTAGCGTTTTGCGATTTGCTCGCTTTCGTGCACCAAATTGGCAAGACAGTTTAGACGAGCGAATTATGCAAATCAGCGAAAGAAGGCGAATGCGAATGCGAATCCGAATCCGAATCAAAATTCCAGCAGCCACCGCTGTTGCGTATGCACATCTGCTTAATTAAGTGTCAAGCTCGTTTTTTACGCTGATGAACACTTGGCCAAAAGCCAGTTGCCAACTTTCTAGCCGCTTGGAACGCCTGCGCCACGCCGCTGGCATTGTACTCGTTAGCATTGTGCATATTTACCTTTGTGATTTTGCTCGCCAGACGTCGAATCACATTCTGTAATGAGCCCAAATATTATCACTGCGCTCCAAGTTGCCACACGGCGTGCGTAACTAGATTTTTGGCCTTGCTTGCATCACCTTTGCAGCTGCTGATGAAGTGTTGTTGCTATGATCGGCGCATTTGCCACCGACGCCGGCGACTCTTGCGTTGCAAGGCGCCAACTGGTTTGTGGCAGCCAACAAATGATCTCAAAGCCCGACTCATCGGCGGCTCAGCTACCGCCATTGAAAAGGCTTTTAATTGTGCCGTACAATTTAAGGTTTCAGCGCTTTTAAAATATAATTCCCGTCCCGAGTGCCATTAGGCCCGATTTATAGCCGTTGTCCTTGTGCTCGGCGCTCGATATGCAAATCGGGCTCACGCATGAACGCCCAAACATATGCAACAAGACACGGAGCGGGCTAAATGCGATAAATATGTTGATGTGGTCGTGTTTTTCCGCTTTTGCGCATTTTCCGCTTTTGCCGCTCTTGCCGCTCTTCCGTTTTTTTCCCATCCGCATTCTTCATTAAAAACAATGAAAATTGAATTTAATTCGCTTGTCGGGCCTAATTATAATTATGTTAATGGTGCATGTATTTCCACAAAATTTACACAATGTTTGTCCAAATCGTCAACCGATTTTCCCACTGACCAGAGTGCCATTAGCCAGATAGTATCTGCGAAATCATGTTCCATTCCATTACATATCGCGACATGCACTGCGGATTGGCTTAGTTGGCGATTGCTAATTGGCAGTGCTTTAAACTGATTTTAAACATGCATTTTTCATGGCCCAGCAATGTGCAATTAGCGTCAGAGCTCGCAGTGCATCAGGCAAATTATGTTCACAAGACTCACCTGTTATATTGGCAATGTATCTCGGACAGTAAGTTTTGTAAATTACTGCCACAAAGCTTTCGCTTTGACCAGGGCTTACGCCTAAGTGCAAATACGTAATGGAAACTGATTCGATATTCGTATTTATTAGCGAGCTAAGCCGTCTTTTAGGATTAGTTGCAAAGCACGTAATGTGCAACTGATTCAGGGTAATAGTTTAAATTTTTGCCGCTGGCCAAAAATCAGTCGCCTGTCGCTAATTTGGCCACTTCAGTTCAAGCAACGATACGAAAACAATGAGCTGAGCTTTAACCAAACCGAAATCGAGGGGCTGAAGAAAGGGGAGTGGCATTTCGGTTTTTGGGCAAGTTGGTTACAGCGATTGAATTTAATTAGCTTATCATGAAAGCGTATTCCACATAAATTTATCAAAATTGCTTTACACAGCAGCAGAGACAGTGGCTTCCGCGGGGCGTGGTGGGGCCCAAATTGCATTACGACCCGCCCATTAAACTGATAAAAACGAGATCCTGGAGTGGCGCTGGAGCGATGGGTGGTGTTTGGGGCGGCGGGCTGGCTGAGCGGCACTTTAAAGTTGATGGCTCGAGAGAGAATCTAAAATCAAATTTATTAACGCACATTACAACGCGCTCAGTTCATAGCACACACCCCCACCCCCCTTCTGTGGGCGGTGGGTGGTGGGTGGTGTTTGGTGGGTGGTGTTTGGTAGGCGGTGGGCGGTGTATAGCTCTCGCTTCGGGTTTTTCCGTGGGCGCAGGGTGGCTGAAAAATAATACACAGGCGTTGCCCTTTGTTTTCCGCCAAAGCGGCCGGAAATGTATTTATTTCACGCCAACGAAAGCCCAGCGAGTGTAGTGTCTAAAAATCGGCTTTAATGAGAATTTAATTAAACAACATTTTTTTTTTTCAATTTTTGATGATGTTACCCCTTGAAAAATATGCCCAAAATCACAACAAATTGTACTTTCCCAAATTCGTCAAATACTGATGGTTGGCGTTCGTAATGAGCTACTCAAAACTGTTATTATTTCATCTTAGTGATAATTTTTATGGAAGTTATGACGAAAACTCCCATTTGAAATATCGAATATTTGCCAAAAGTCGTTTTTCCGATTTACCGACCTAAAAAATCAGTTTTTTGGCCATAACTTTAAAAATAATTGTCTGAATATGAAAAGTTATACATCGTTGAACTCGTATTCAAATTCCCAACCGAACTGTGTTCAAAAATGGGAATTCTTTTTTTTTTTGCCATTTTTTGAAAATTTTGATGATGTTAGTCCTTAAAAAAATGACAAAAAAAAAACAAAAAAATGAATTTTTCCAAATCCATCAAAAAGTGATAGGGATGGTTTGCGTTGGTAATTAGCTGCTCAAAACTGTTATTCTTTAATTTTAGTGATCATTTTTATGGAAGTTATGATGAAAACTCCCATTCGAAATATCGAATATTTGGCAAAAGTCGTTTTCCGATTTTCCGCAGAAGAGTACGAGTATCTTGGAGTATCTCTGGATCTTTTGGAGTAAACAAAGATTGCGGGGCACTATAGGCTATCCCATAAGGTGACAATCTACTGAAGGATTATAGCTGCTGTATGGAAGTAGGGGTGCCAAATCTGGGGCTCGGTATTCAAATAGAACAGCGTTTGGTACCCATTGATTGTTTGTGCTTCAATTATAATTATTTCAGTTCGCAGCCCAATCAGAAGGCAGCCCAGCGGAACCCTCTTCACTTTACCTTGGCTTATTCCGCGCAAGTGGCTACATACGTGCACATGTATCTGTTTCTGTATCTGTATCTGTATCCGCATCATAATAACCGACCATTAAGCCATGATTACTGCGCTGCCAAGGCGACACCGCATTTGACTTGCAATCGCCCGCCGACGCGACCCCGCCCACAATTTCCAATGGGCGCCTTAAGCCGCTTGGCAAAGTTCGGTCGACTTATTTCGCCTTATCGACGAGGCCTTTGAGGCATCCACTTTGATAGCTGGCCAAGTGTGTTAATTGATAAGCAATCGCTAATCGCGCGCCGGCACCGGCGACAAAAAGAATGGGTGGGTGGCCATAAAAGTGTTTTTGCCCCCGATGCGTTTCGCTGTCTGCCGTCTCTTTCGCCCACTCCCGCCGTCCCTCTCGCACGCTCAGGCGTTCGCCTGTAGTGTCAACGCGATTATAATGATTATGCCGCTTCGCAGGTTTCACTATGGCGTTCGCAATAATAGCACTGCAAATTGGGATGTTCCATAGCTGTGGCATAGCATAATCGAATAAACGAATAGCTCAAAATTCGAGTTATTATATATACAATAGAACCAGCTCTTCATTCGATTAACATAGTTTTGAGTATTGAATAGAAAATATAAACAAATGGGTCACCTTGATAACAAAACCCATGCTAATGCCTTTCATATTTCCCAAGGATTCGAGGAAAGTATCCTGCAGTACTTCGGTAATATGTGGCCCAACTCTTTTGTTAACTTGGTTCAGCTAGCCAATTGGCATCCTTTCAAGCCATGTGAGTTGCTGTGCCCTAGTGGGTGACCTCATCTGTATTCCAATGCAGATCTGAGTGGCGAGCCCACCGAGCAGGAGCAGTATATTAGGACCCCAGATGGAGATGGGTTCCAGGAGGGGTTCCGCCGGCAATTGAAGGCATTTGCGCGTGAAATTACATTGAAAATTTAATTGTGCACACCCACAACGACAAAGTGCAGCAGGTCACAGTGCATTAGACACGCAAAATTTGCCAATAAATTCAAATTCAACACCCTGATTTTGCGCCGCCTGCCGGTTTCATAGATAACAACTGAGATTATCGGCATAATGACAGTCGGACACGAGTCGGGAATAATCATTCAAAGTCATTGATCTGAGAACTCGTGGTAACGAAATGCATTCCAGCACAAAATAGCCCACAGTACTTATAGATACATTAATCTTTGTTTCAGTAAAAACAGTTTCAGCTGTTTGGGCTTTTAAAAGCTTGCGCTTCGCCAATAAATGCTGTACTGTACTGTACTTTCTGCACGCAATCATTAGTTGATTATCTATCGATCTGCTGGATTTTCCAGCGATTTCCACTGCCACGCCCCTTGCCTTCGCACCTGCGCCCACATGCGGTATGTGGTCGCGCATTTCTCCTGTTGCGGCTGGCTAAAAAAGAAAAACCGAGGCGAAACAGTAGAAAAACCAGAGCTGTGGAAACCCCCCAGCTGATGCAATTTTCCTGTGCGAAAATTAACAAACAAACAAACACACAGACGAGTGTGGCAAATGAAAATGCGCGCGCGAGAATTCAATTTGTGGAAAAGAAAATGGTGTTGGATGAGTGACTGCGGAGGGTCGGGCTGCAGCATGTTGTTGGGTTAGGCCATGGTTTAGTCGGCTGCCTGTTTACTTGAGGTTTTCCCTGCAGCCAGCAGGTTTTCCTTCCATTTTCCGCCGACTGCCGGCGTATGAGGGCCAGCCGGAAGGAAATGCAAGCGAACAGGCAAATACTCAGCCCTTGGATGGATGGGTGGGTGGTGCAGTGGAGCAGTGGAGCAGTGGTGCAGTGGCTCGGTGGTTTAGGCTTCGGTCTCGCAAAGGCAGCGCGAATGTCTTGGCTGAGACCGAAATTGGCACAACCGGAAGTCGATTGAGTTCGCTGCTGCCTGCGGACTTGTCGCCAATCAAACGGGGGGCAGACATGGGTTAAGGGCTCCGAATCCGGCGCACAGTGTTAAGCAGTTTAGGGGCTTTACTCAGCGACTGATAACCCTTCGTTCCCTTCAGCAGGAAAGAATATATTAGCAGTTTACGCAGATGGTCTCAGTCCAGGTAATGCGGCAAATCTTAAAATTCAATGGAGCACTTGTGACCACCTAATCACTCATACTGCAGGTTAAGAACTCAAAGGGCGCTGGGGGGAGTAAATTCCCAATTATTTATGCGAATGTCGCGGTCTAATTTTAGCATTAAAAGCGTTAAGCCGAGCGGTGTAATGATGTTTACCTCGTTTTCCACTGAATATTTTATTTTTACGCCGTCATTGCTAACAACTAAGACCCCTTTTGAATGCATAGTTGGCGTCACCAGGACAACGGTGGGTGCCATTCAGCAGATCCTGTCACAATGCACATGTGTACCGTACCACCCTGACGAAGCCCTGCATCTCTAGATTATTAAGTTTGCTCACACTGAGCAAAAACGTCTCTCATCGAGATGAGATACTAGTGACGATTGCCCTTGCAACATTTTCATTTTCTCCCGAAAATGCATGTCGTTGTGATCGGACAACCACATTTCTTCGTCTTCACATGTTAGTCGCCTTCCTCGGGCGCGCTTCGTCACTACGCGGTCTTTCGCCTTCGTAACCCAGACTCACGCAAATTTAAATTGCCTAATTATAGCTCATTTTTACCAGTGCATAGGTAGTTGGTTCAAAGAGCTGCTGGAATTACAAATGTTGGCAATCTGTTTGGCTGTGCCACGCCCCCGTCCGCGCAGCCCGCCCCCGAGTTGTGCGCTCGTAGGACCAAATATTTCCATTATTAATGTCTGTTTATCTGCATGCGACGATGTCAGCCGTTCGCCAAGCCACCCATAGATATATACTTATTTATATACATAAACATACATATACGACTATACATCTATATGGGTACGAGTGTAAATATGTGCATACACACACCCGATCTGTGGGTGTCTTTGTTTACGCTGCTTTATGGGCTTCGATTAATTTTGCGCGTAAATAGCTGAGGGGAGGTGCGGAAAAGTGGGGGTTTTCCGCGGCAATTTGTTGTTGTTATCTGCGGGGCTATATTTAAACATAGTTTATTAGTTGTTGTTGCAGCGATTAAAAGCGTGGCAGACACCCCCCCACTCCCTTCCTGGCCAGTCCGTCCTCTTGGCTAAAATATTGCAGACATTTAGTTTGAAGATGGCCAAATTCGAGGGCGGGAAACGCTCGCGAAAAATGAGCACGTTCAATCAAGAGAATTATTGCGAATCGCTGTGCTCGGTTATCACGTTATCAACTCAATTATACTCAGCTGATCCAAAATCGATGTATTATGTCTAGCATGCAGCTGTATAATCAATTTGTATAATTATCTCTTATCATATGTTTTATTTTTTTGATACATTACCATGTATACCCAATCATTAAATTGTTACGAAGCTAAAGCTAGTGGTGCCCATCTCAATATAAAAACAGTGAATTACAGTATTACAACTGAAATGAAATATTCATAAGAACAAAGCTTCGAAACCACAAAAACTAATATTTTTGTAACTAGTCATTGTACATACATTTAAATTCGCAAATATGTTTGTGCATACGAGTGGTCGTAAAGTTTTGACTAGAAATCTTCATAATCTCTAATGAACAATTAGTGACGAAGGCGTTTTACAAATCCCAGACACTTGCATAAGATTCAAGTACACAAACGGTAATGCGAATTGGCGACACATTTGGAAATGATTTCACCTCATGGCATTTGCTTTGTGCTGATGCATTCCCATTTCCCATTTTATTGAGGAAAGTCTGCCGTAAAAAAGTGCCGATTGTAAATCGCCGGGGTAGAATTTTCGCAGTTAATCGCGAGTGCTTAGCGAAAGTTATTTTAGTTTGTTTAGCTGTTAATTTTCCTGCCAGTCGGCGGAGTTAGTTTAAGTATGGCAAAAACTAAAGATAAACAACAACTAGGGCCCTCCGGTTTGTGTAATTTGAAGTGCAAACATGAAAGCGAAATCGGCGATCAAATTTGCCCAACAAATGTATTCGTGTTTAGGCGCAAATTGCTTGGATAGTGACGCACCCCATTCCAAGATTAGGCGTTCTTGATAAACATTGCTATAAACACGGTCCGCGGGTAAACAAACAAAACATTGCTAAATATTAAAATATCAGATTGGCGCAGACACGAGTATATTACTTGCGCACTGAGAAAAACTCGGATGCCTTTCGGAACGATGCGACTTCCACGCAACAAAGTAACGGACTGGAAAAAAACCTTTTGATTTCACTGGTTCTTTGAATAGTGATCTATGACTTACGGTCAATACAACTGCATAATTTTATTATATTTATTGTATTATATTATCTAAAAAAATCTCAAAAACTTGAGGCTGGAAAAGGGAACATTAGGGATACACACTCCATTAAAAGCACTAGTTTTTGGAATTGCTTGTGAAGCAATACAGTTTGGTTCCGGAATCAAAAAGTCACCAGGATTTTTCCATCATATAAGGCACGCATCCATATTTCTATTTTGAGATCCAAGAAAGGAACTAGTGTCCCGCATTCAGCCGAATTTCTCGCAGTGCAGCTATTCGCACATATGCTAGAGCTTTCGCCATCGAAGTGGGAATCGCTCTTATCTAATGAGTCGATAATCGCACGACTGGCGGCGGCGAAGGAAGTGCATCGACGAGCGGTGTTTTCTGGGAGCTTTCCCGCTGGCCGTGGAGCCCGGAGGCGACTGGCCGACGTGACCGGCGGCACATCGGACGTCCACGGGCAAAGCTTCCCGCGGGTTCTGGTTCAGCTGGCTCTATGCGGCGGGGCTCCCACTCTGGGATTCCACTCTGCGATAGTGTATATAAGGCCCCATGCGAAGTGTGCGTCCCGCGCATAGTGCGAAAAGCTCCACTCGCGTTCGCCTCGCATTCCAGTCCGCACCCGGAGTAGTAGTCACTCGTCACTCGACACTCGTCCCGATTTCCCGTGAGCAAGCAGCATGTGGTCGAAAATTGGCATCGCCGGAGCCCTGCTCGTGATGGGTGGCATCCTGTCCTCCAGCGTGGTGGACAACTTCGCCTACGTGGACCGCTCGCTGCCGGTGGCCATGCCCAAGGCGAAGGCCTTCCAAGTGAAGCAGGAGTGAGCATCCCAGACGGGGGCCTCGAGTGGCTCCCGGTGGGCTGCCGATTAGGCGGTGCCTTCACTGGCCAGCCAGCTACTCCGGCTTGTGTTTGAGCTACAAGTTGGAGGGAGATAGTGCTTCCACCTACGTGCCCACAGGAACAACTTGAGCACTGCAATCTAATTTATACATTTTTTTTTACACTATGTGACTAATTTAGCAAGTTAGAAGTAAGCAATATTATTAGGCTTAACTGTCAAACGAACTGGTTAATTTGTGGGTCATTTGATTTGGCCTTCGAGCCGGCAATTATCGCAGTCAATAATGAGGTATTGACATCGGTGGGCAATTAGTGACAAAGAGATTACAACCCTTTTATTTGGTGGCCCTTTCAAAGCCAATTAGCATGACCATTTTTGTTTGATGAGTCCTTTGGAATGCCAAGTAATCTGTGCCATGTGTGACAGATTTTGCGAATGTTTACATTGGAGTGCCCTTCTGAGTCACGTTTGGATGATTTATTTGTTTCAAAAATGTTCCGAATTCCATTTCCTGGCGTTGAGTTGACCGAATCATTCAACAGGATATTCAACGCATAATATTCTTTTGAATTGTGTTCTTGGAACTATTTTCTTGCGGTGAGATTTTACTTGGTGAATTTCTTTATGTTCTGCGTGTGCTATTTTGTTTTATTTTCCTGGTCCTAGTTGTCCAGATCCTTCACATCCTTCGACTCGTCCTTCTCCTTGGCTTTCTTCAGATTTAACTTGGCCGCCGCCGCCTCCTCTGCCTCCTTCCTAACCTTGGCCCTCCTCGCCTCCAGCGCCAGGCGCAGCTTCACCTGGGACTCGCGCCTGAGGATGGAGGGCACAGTGATTAGTGGGGCACTCTGCTCTGGTGACTTTGGCGGGCTGCTGGCCGCAGTCGTTGTCGGAGTGGGGGTAACTGAACGAGCTGGAGCTGCAGCTGCAGCTGGAGCTAGAGCTGGAGCTGGATCTGGAGTAGCAGCTGGAGCTGGAGCTGGAGCAGGAGCCGCAGTAGGCACAGCAGCACGAGCAGGAGGAGCAAGGTGCTTCGCTACTGGCGGCCTGCCAGGATGTAGATAGGTTTGATTGGGCCTAGGAGCGCGTTTTTTGGGCTGTGGTGGCCGGACGGTGGGCGGCTTGAAGGGCAGTGGGGGGGGCTGGAAAAGCGCTTGCTGATTGGGAAACAATTTGTTGACCAGTATCTGACCCATGGGTCCGGGAAAGTAGTGGGACAGCATGGCCGGCGAGGGCTTCATCATGAGCATCTGGATGGGCACCATCTGGTGCCAATTGCCGTACTGGGCGGCACTGAAGGAGAGCAGCTGTGCGGCGGTAAAGATCAATTGCCGCTGGTGGCCATCGGCCTCCTGCCTGACCGCCTTGAAGTACGAGGATACCTGATTGTTGACCAGCGAGATGGTCACGTCCGGGCCAAAGAGTTGCAGCTTCTCGCGAATATGGGCGCTGACCACCAGGGGCTGGGACTGCGTGGTGGGCGTGTTCAGCGCTCCGCTGATGGGAATCACCACCTCCTTGACCTCCACTTTGAGAGCAGGCTTGGGAGCTGGAGGCGGCGGGGGCGGGGGCGGCGGCAGCGGCGGCCGCGGCTTGGGAGCTCCATCATGGAGATCCTTGCGCAGCACCCAGGGCTGATGGGCCGGCTGGACAATGACCTTGGGATATATCTCGTTCTCCAGCGGATTGATGCAGTGCGCCAGGAAGTTCGGTGGCGGCGGCAGTGGAGGCGGCGTCTCGGCGCGACGACGCTTGGCAGGCCGTGGCTTAGGTGGACCTGGCTTCGGGCCACGCCTGCGGCCCTTTGTTGCCGGCTTGGGCGTGGATTCGCCCTGGGATTCAGGATGCTGGGCCACTGGAATGGGGAAAAACGGGCGGCTGATGCGGCTGTTCAGGAGGATCCCATTGCTGGCCGCCACGGACGCAGGTGGCACATAAAGATCCACCAGCTCGATGATGGTATTTGGTTGCTCCACCATCACCACCGAGGTGGGGGCCTTTTGAAGAACATTGACATTAGTGTTTTCTGCAGTATATGCATCCTTCTCGGCAGCCCTGAATATTTGTGGTAATTCATTTGAAGGATTTAGTTTGGTCTGGGATACTCCGGCCAAGTGTGATGCAGTGTTCAGCTGCTGGAATACTTCAGTTTTGGGCGCCAGAGTGTCTTCAAAAGTGTCCATTTTCTGGGCTATTTCATCCATGGCAGCCACGGTGCCTTCGGCCACTCCATCCATTCCGGTAACAGGAGTCTTTTTCGGTTCCTGGGACATTTTGCTTTGGGTGGCGCCTGGAAAAGAGACGAGGTCAGTTTGGCAGAATTATGGTCGGGAATCCCGCCCTGCAGCACCACATATTAATTTGCATTTGGTTCAAGCCTCATTTGCTTTTATTCCTGCTGACTCTTCAACTCAAACCCACTACCAATTTCATTCGCCTTCAACAAATAGGCACACTTCAAGAAAAAGAGTGTCCTTTCCATAGCATGGCATGCAAATGTGTGAGGGGCCAGCAGTTCGTTAAGAACTTGATGATGTGATATGCGGTGCGCACACTCCCAAAGAAGTCCACTAGAATTTTTACCAGTGCACACACACAATCTCTGCCCCTGTCCACAAACACGAAAAATGACTGGCAAGCCGCAAATACTTTGTCAGGCTCAAGTTGACAGTCGTCCTGGCTCCCCAATCCTGGTTTTGTTCCTGGCGCCATAGGCTCATTCCGGCCCGCCGCCCACCGCCCACCGCCCACCTCCCACGCCCACTCCGCCGCCTCTGCCCCACGCACTTGACACTTTTTTGCGGGGAGCCATATGCCGGGCACCCCGCCCCTCCACCTCCGCCCCTCTTTGCGTGTGCGGAGGCATTTGGCAGAACAGATTGTTGAAGATTTGATTTCGGGCAGCGCGCTCTCCCACTGGACGCAGCCCTGCCCCCCACTCCACTCCACTCCGAGCATCGTCCCACCATCCAACCAGCAGCCACTGGAACAATCGTTAATCTAATGAAAGATGACATTTCATGTGGGCCTGGAGATGTTTACGTCCCAGCAACACTTGAGCGGGCTGTGGCATGTGACCACTGGAGTCCACCGCCACCGCCATCGCCATCGCCGTCTCCACCGAAATGGCTCTTCCAGTTGCTCGCATCTCATCCGATTTGCTGGGGGCATTCATCATTCCCCGGCTTTCGGCCCTCGGAGCTCTGATGAATAAGCGGCTAGTTAGGAAGGAAGATGGCCAAGCGGAGCTGACCGCGATCAAAGGTCAATTTGCAAGTGGGGCCCGACTCATAGGCGAGATATCTGCCCCAAACATCAGTCAGCCAGTTAATATGCGACCCAGTAATTAGAGATATGGATTAGTTGGGAAGGCCAGCAGTTTTTCAGAAGTGTAGCGCTTTATTCAGCATTCATTGGTTCCCAAGATGAATATTCAATTATTAAGTAAAATTAGTGCTCGATCAGCCAGCAGAAGCTTGGCGAGAAATGTGCGTGCAACTAAGATTAGGCCCATTAAAATATAGTTGGCTATTGACCAATTTCTCGGGGCCAAGTTAGCTAGCTGCCACGCCCACCACTCAGTGGCCCAATAAAATTTGATTAGCCAAACAGTGCGGAGCGGCTGGTCGGATGAGGGCCAGGCAAATCCTTGGGAGGCCCAAGGATATCACAAATGATGGGGCCAAAGGGCTGGCAGTGCGACCCACAAATTTCCGGGGGACATGTGTATTGTGTATTCATGGGGACAGGACATCAGGCAGCTCTGGGTTAATTTACATTATAAACTTTGAATATTTTATTGTTTGCCAGGCTAAGGACACCAGCTGGCGCCCAGCTCCCAGCTCCCAGCTCCCAGCTCGTCCTTCTTGGCCACATTATTGACACTTTTGCGGGAGTGGCTTCTGCGGTCAGCAGATCGAGGTCTGTGGCTCCGATTTAATGGCGGCAGCCACATCTCTGGCCAAATTATGACGGGCAAGGACCTGCCGCCCTGCTCGTCGCTAGGATATCCCGCCCACTGGCCGCCCATCATTAGCATGGGCTTTTGCTTGTTAAGCTTTGAGCATCGGGTTACTTAATAATCTAACAATTTGCCTTGCAGGCTATATCGGCCACAGATTTCGGCAGGGAAACAGGTGCCTATCAAATTGGACTTTATATTTGCGAAATGCGAAATGCCCATTGTCCTAATATCGAATAGCACAAGCTATAAAAATGAAACGGCTTTAATTATGCGTTTTATTCGGCCTTTCGCGTTTAGAAATGAGAGCCAAACACCGCATGTCAATTAGTCCAGAATATTAAGTTGTTATTTTGAAATTTGTGTTCAGTTTAATGGGAGTTTCTAGCTTGGCAGATACTCTGAGCGCTTTTGTAATCCGAATGCTATTTGCATTGTTCCACGCACTGCAAATGAATCCGTACGCAACAATCTGAGAACTGTATCTGGGAACTTATGAATTACACACATGTAATCTATCCGAGATACCAGATGAATAGTTTATGGCATTGAGTTTTTGGCGTTGCAAGAGCCACGTATATTTTGCTCAAAGGGTATTTAATCCTTCGTTTAGTTTCGTTTCAGTAAATCGCAGTTGCAGCTGCATTGATTTTCCCGGATTTGCCGGCTATTGAAAACTGTTCTTTATGGGTTTGGAACGTTTTTCCCAGAACCGGGCTTACGCCAACTGATGAAAGTTTTGCTGTCGCCGCTAATAAGCTACGTGTCGCATTCACCTTCTGGGTGGGTGAGTGGGTGGAATGGGTGGGTGGTTTTGGGGTTGGTGGTTGGCTGGCTTTGCAGCGCGGCTTTTGGACTAATAAAAACAAGAGACAGTTTAAGCCGGCTCTTTGTTCTTTTGGCTGCTTTGAACCACATATGAATAAACTGCCACTAATCCAGCATCCAAAACAAAAAAAGGGAGTAGGGAAGGGCGATGTGAGGGGGGAAAATTAATAATTTATAAATGTTGGCGGGGCGTCAGGGATTAAGCGCGGGCTTTTCAGCGCCTTTTGCTTGAAACTTTTCCCCGGGGGGAAAAACTTGGCGGGGAAAACTCATTTAAAGAAATGCGGCGCTTATCGGCGCCCTGGCATCGAAATTAGCCAAAGCAAAAAGCGCGCGGAGGAAAGTGGGAAAGCGGCGGGAAAACAGGGACAAAGCGTATGCAGGCACTGCAATAAATTATAATGCAAATCCGCCTTTGAGATCGCAACAACAACGGCTACAAAATGGGCATTAAATGCCCGCCACTTGACTGCGCCACACATTTTTTTCAACATTTCACCATTTTTTGTGGCCCACTCCGCCGTCCTTGTTGTTCGTCCATTTAGAATGATAAAAATCGCTGGCAATTTCTGCGCCGGCAGTGAAAAAGATGGGAAAATGGAAAATGGGGAAATGGCTGGGTTAAACGCTGCGTTTGCCGGCAAACGGAAGCTTTTCACTCACCAATCACAACTGCAAAAATATTCCAAATCTTGATGCAACTCGAAACTGTTTTTCCGTGCTCCGTCGACTTAGAAACTGGAACTGAAAGCGAGTAGGTGCCCTTAGATCTGGGCAAGTTCGACTGACATCCCGCCCAGAGTCGACTTATATAGGGAAAATGCCGAGCAGCTACTACAAAAATCTCGTTATTTCTATGCATCCATCAAAAGCTGCTGTGTGCTACTTGGAAGATGCCAAATTCATCCGTAAGCAATAGTATTATGTTAATTCTTTAAGTGAAACAGACACAAAAAATACACAGTGATTGGCGGAAATTTAATAATATCCTCGCTTTCTTTAAACTCGTAACTTTCAGTGTTCCATTCCCCTGCCCCACAACTTAAATGACATGAAAAAAACGTTGTAATCCGAACCCAAAAGGGGAACTTCTTCTTGTGCAAATTTATAAACATATGTAAATGCTTAGCCGTGTTTAAGGCCCCAATTCCGCCTCCTTTCCAACCATTTAAGCTGCCGCAAAATGTTTGAAAATTGCACTTAAAGGCGCAAAAGTTGAAATGCGAACTGCTGACAAATGCGTTTCGATTTCCATTCACAAAAGGGGGCCAAATATCTCAAAGTTGGAAATTAAATTAAATTTCTTTATTGGCACTTTTTTCCCGCATTCGTTTCATTCGTTTGCTACGCATATGCATATGCAAAATCCGAAGAGGGTGTCCTTTGGTGGGTGGCCAAAAAGGGGGTGGCTGGGTGGATGGGTGGCTGGGTGGACAGCCAAAGCAATCAGCAGCAATAAATGATAAGCTTCGAGGCAACAAAGCCCAAGCCGAAAGACGCACATGAGCACAAAGAGTCGTCTGGGAGGCGGAAATTCCGTTTTCAGGGGAGGATTGGGGGCGGAAAGTCGAGCAAGGAGCGTCTAAGATGTCGGAGCCCAAGAAAACTGTCGGGCACAGGAAAAGTGGTGGCGAGTCTCGTCGAAGTAGGCTTTCAGCGCTCGCTTTTCCTTGGTCAATATCGGAGAGGAAAATCGAAGAGGCAGGGGGGGCTGCTTCTGCTTGTCTGGGGCTACTTTGCAACATATTTGCCGCTAACGAAGCGCACGATTTCCAATAATGCCCAGAATGCGTCTTGGAGATGCGGATGCTGCTCCTCCGCACCCTCGGAAGCGATTGACTCGGGTGGCTTGGGCTTTTAACCCTCCTACCAAGCTACTTCACTCTGAGCAAGTTAGTTCCTTTGGAATATTCTTAGCCTGGTTTAGGGAAACCGAAAACTGAAACTGCAACTTTGCATCTTGTATCTTATAAATATCCCACTACTAAATTATATTGACGAAGTAGTAGCAGCGGATTTTTACATTTTTACAGGGTATCCAACCCGTGCAACCCTCCGTTTCCACACACATGCGAACACAATTGCACGGGGTGTTTGGCGAGGGCATGTGTCCTCATAAAACGTACGCCAAATGGACACAAACACTCGCCTCCCACTCCGGAGATGTGACTTGTTGGCCGGACTTGGCCGTAATGAGTTCCCTTGTGGCCGGCGCGTATCGCCTTTTTTATGGACCCATTGCTGGGCGGGGTCGGGGGCGGGGGCGGTGGCGGCTAGTGGGCGTCAAGGTGAAAGCCACTTAAAGCCAAGGGCAGGGCTCCACAACTTCCAGTTATCATGTGACAGTAATGAAGTGACAGACGGCGGCGAGCAGATCCGGAAGCTGAGCACCGTGAAACGAGAGCATCGAGGACATCGAGGACAACTCCACCGCAATGCTTCAAGTGCGAAGCCTCCGCGGAGGGGGGCTTAAAGCCGTTTAAGGGCCTTGGGCCTCGACATTTGGCCAGGCTGGCCCCGTCCTCCGTGGCTGAGCATTCACCCTGCGGTTCTCGGACAGCGGCCACATTAATTATTAATTGCAGAATAATTGCGAAATTGTGTTTGGCCAAGTTAATTTATGCAATAAAACCGCCGACCGCCGAGCGCCCCTCTCCGTGATCCTTTCCGCTTTAAAGTCGCTCCTCCACTCCATTTGCCACTCTTCATTCCGTGTAATTCCTCCGCTCATTTGGAGCAGGCTGCCTTTCTTCCCAATTTTTTGCCTTTTCGCCTCGCTCGGCCCCAGCTAATGAGCCACTGATGGTCATGAGCCGGCGACCCTGTCCCCCTGTTCCTGTCCCCAATAACAAACCAGTTCCGGGACCGCCTCCTTTTGAGCCAGAGCAATTACTTAATCATTTGCCTAACGACCGAATAGCAGGCGAAGGCAACAACAGCAGAAATTAGCAAAAATTAAGTTCACTCTTCAAGTGAATTTCGGGCCAGGGATCGGGATGGGGATCGGGCAAGGGATTGGCAGTGGAACTGGGACTGGACGAGCAGAGGTCGACTCCATGTGGCCGGATTGCGGTAAGCTGTAGTGCGGTTTTAGCCAGTGCGCCAAAAGTGCGGTCAAGGCTGAAAAGTATGCTACGTAAAATATGCTAATATGTTAAATTATCCTTAGCCATTCCAATTTATTCCGGCAGTATTTTAAATGGATGGCAGGTGACTCACGACGGCTGCTAATCCAGCGAAAAGGCATTAAATTGTTCTTTTTACTTGGCGCGTTTCAATGGAATATTTAATATATGAACTGCAGAATGTTAAATCCACAAATTCGCGTGATTTTGTCGTTATGATCGACTGTACAAATGAATAATCAGAGCAAAAGATACACTAAAAATGAACTTACAGATACAATAGGGATAGCTGGAAGATCCTCTAGTTTACAAAGCATCTAAAGTCCTTTTCTGCTTGCTTTACTTGGTCGTCCTTTTGTCGTGCAGGAAAATATCCCGCCTGAACAGGGGAAAGTCAAAGAAAAGCGGGGCAGGGCGGAAAAGTCAACACAAGCATTTTGATATTTCAGATATTTTTCATTCGAAATTCCTTGGCCGAGGCCAACACAACAGCACCACGCTCGTTATTTCTCGTTATTATTTTGTAGTATTCTTCTGCTCCTTGAAGCTGGGAAACAGTTTCCACATTAGCAAAAAACTATTAGAGGTCAAAACTGGGCTGTATTGGTTATTGTGCCGAATCTGTTGGCAGTCGTAAGTCGCTGGTGGTAATAGGTATCACTTATCTCGTTACATTGCATATTTCGCCATTTCTCGTATTTTGTATGGCTGCTTTGTACTTAACCCTGGTAACCCTGGTTTCCAGTGTGTGCACTTGCATTTGTGCATCTGTGCATCTGGCAGATACTCGTGCGCGGCTGTGTGTATCTTACGGATTTCGGTTCGGGCCCAGGCGAGCATATAAATCTATTATCCTTTAATTTAGCCACAGAAATAATGAAGCATGCAGAGTCTTTTGTGTATCTTTGTGCCCCTGTGTTTGTGAGCCACGCCCCCTGCTCTGCCACTCCCCCTGACACACATAAATTCAATCAACGGCAATTTGCCGGCAGAGTTGCAAAGGCGTCGACGTCCGCAAATGTGCAATTTATTTATTGTTGCTATCGCAAAAGCCCGTCGCGGTGGCTTTTCTACCCAGTAATTGGCTGCTTTGGTATGTAATATTATCGTGTTAATAGTTCGTGTTTTCCCTAGTGCGAAAAGTCATTAACTTTCCAATAACAAATTACTTAAATTACCCGTACTCAAATAGGTTGAGGTATATTAGATATAATAAACATGGGGAGCACACAGTTATGTATAAAAACAAATGTGCTTTTTATTTTGGATGAGTGCCATCATCCAACTAGTAAAAGCGATTTTCCCGAGGGTATTGCCGCCGCTCCCGACTCGACTTAGGCTTTTCTCCAGCTTGTTGTTATATCTGCAAATTGAATTTTCGTTTAGCATTTGTGCGATTTTGGCAATTCATTAAAATGGGTAAGTGGTGTGGGTTCTCCAGCTGCAACTTGCGCCCGCTGCAGGCAAATGGAAATGCAATTTTCCCGACCAAAACCAAAAAAAGGGGGGCTGTCGGCGGCAAGACACAAAGCGACGACAAAGCCGGAGCGTTAAATTGGCAACACACATGCCGGGGTAAATGTGGCAGCATCTGGCTTGGCAGCTGCCTTAATTAGTTAATAAGAAAAGCGAGTTTCGGCGCCTTGGAGCCGTGCATCCACGCGCTTTCCCCATAACCCAGTTGGGATACCCGGATACCAGGATACCCAGATACCCGGATACCCGGATACTTGAGTACTCCGGCACGCAGTCCGATTTCCCTGGATCCGGCTGGTCCGATTAACTCCGGGAGTGGCTGGCTAATCGCATCAGAGGGAATTATCCCGGCCAACGATTGATTTACGGGCTCGGGGACTCGGTAAGCTGAAAACTGAAAACTGAAAACCGAAAACTGGCGAAACTCTTTTTAAGCTGCTGCAATCTTGGCATGTTCGCAATCAATTCCATTTGATACCGCGCCCTTTTTCCTGCGGGCACGCTGCCACGCCCACTCAATTGAGTTATGATTTATGGGCGGGCAACAGGTGCTGCTGGCCCAGCCGGACACCTTCCACATCCGGAAAGCACACTGCAAGGAAAACGTAGTTGTTACGCCACGTAGTTGGCTAAAAGGGAAATTGTTGCGAGGCAAATTTACTTGTGTCACAATCCCAAACGAAGTTTAGCACTAGTTACCATCTGCCCGAGTATTTCTCCGAGTGCACGCCACTGCCACTCCCCCTGCGAGCCGCAGGCGTAAACTTTTCGCGCCTCTCGCGCCATAAACTCATAAACTGTCCCCCGCTGACGTCGCACTTGGCATTCAGGACGGGCCAGGACACTGCTCCGCGGCAGCGCGGGGTTGGGAGGGGGGATCTGCAGTTGGATTCGGAGCCGGATTTCCACTGCCAACTGATTAAAATGCGTTGCAGGACTGCAAAAGGCGCTGAGTCGCCGCCGACTGCGCAGCCAGCGCCGCTGCATTTGCATTTATATTGTTTTGACCCGAGCATTATTATCATTTCTCTGCGCCCACGTCCACGCCCAGTTTCCCTGCGGAGCGCCACTTTGTGGACACGTAGTCCTCGTCGCTCCTCGTCCTGCTCCTGGTGCCTGCCTCCACTGATCCTTGATTATGCCACGGGCATAAAGCCAACTTTGGCCGTCCGCGCCCCGCGGAAAGTTCTGCTTAGCGGCTGTTTTATGGCTCTTTGCGAGCCCATTCAGTGGGCCAAAACTTTGAGACGCTTACCGCTAAGAGGGCGTCATAACGAGATACATGCTAGATATTCGGATTGTAGCCGAAAGCGATTGGCTGGCGCTGATTGGTTCTCCGGGTCAGAAGGTCGCCCAGTTGCCCAGTGAGGGGATAATGCAAACTTAATGGTAAGGTGATAACTCCAACTGGGATGCTGAAACTTCACCATGTGAGCTGCCCCTAAAACGCAGATTTCGTCCTTACCTATATTCCTTCCGGGCAAGATCCACTACTGAATGTAATCATGTATCTAAGGTATAATTGCAGGTTTCAAACTATGGCAGCCATAATAGCAAATGGCAAAAATGGAGTTCCCAAACCAAACTACTTTTTTATTATACTCAAAGTTAGCAGTGCCTCAAATTGCATGCGTAGCTTGAAATATGTTCACATAATCAATCATAAATACTACAAATTGACAGGTGACTCTGGGGGTCGGCAATTAAGCCTCCGTGTCTGTTACATTAGCCATCTTCAGTTGGGTGCTTATCAGGTTGATCTCATACCTCCTATTAATTTCCACAAAGGACTCGCCAAAGTTTCCACGCCGACAGCCCCCGCGACAAAAGCAGCCAAACAAGTTGCAAGAGCCTTTTCCGCAGTATGAGCCCACCAGCACCATTCCATCTGCGCAAACAGTGATTTCGCATCCGTATCTGGTGGACCTGGCATTCACCATTCCGCACGATCCGTTGCCCATTGTGAAGATCAGTTTCGCCCTGGTCCAGCAGCAATCTGCGTTTGATTCGCCGAAGCTGGACACCCAGACGACTAGGATGAGTAGCACTGAAGCCGAAACCGCTCGCATGGTGCTCCACTTACTGAACTTATGGGAACTAATGGCACAGGAGGGCTTTATATAGGCAGCCCATCTCATGGCCTTACTAACTTGGAAGCGCACTTAGTCGTACCCCTTACTCGCACGGTGCAAAGTATGCTGCGATCGCTGGAAGGAATGTGACATTATGATTAACCACTGCTCTTTTTATTGGGCATGCATGTCTTTAACAGAGCAAGCGGTACCTCACCGTCGAGACACTGGGCTACATTGCATTATCTTTTAAGATTGCAAGCCCTTGAAGTGAACCATTGTACGTGCACGGCTGTCTAGCTGATTTTGAAAGCAAACACACTCTTTACTCACTCACTTTGCTTAAAGGGTTTATAGTATTACTTATTCTTTATAGATTAGATCATATCACACCTCTGCTTTGAACCAAACTTGGTTAGCATACCAATCGACTTGGAACGGCCATACATGTTGAAACCGCAGCTCCAGCAAGTTGAAATGGTAAAAAGAGGCTTTTCTTTCCCAAGTCGCCAGCCGCTTTATGCATTTCCCCAACGATTTTCCACTCGCCAGCATCTTTTTTGGTGGACCCGCATCGAAATGGCGCCGTGGACCAAAAAGTGGATGGAAATGGATGAAGGGAAAATCGAAGGAAGACCGCAAAAAATTTCAAGCGGACGTGGACGCTGACTGATTAGAAAATGTTGTAAGACACAAGGAACTGAAGGAGCGGGCAGCCAGAACTGAAATAACACACAAAAAATGAAATAAAAGAAAGGAAAGGAAAGGAAGTAAGTTTTTGTGCCGGGGAAGAAATGAATAAAAAAGAAATTCATCAAATTTCGTGAGCGCTGGAAAAACGGCAGGAAGCGGCTTGTCAGCACGCGTACGCCGAAAAAATATTGTTGAAAACAGTTAGCGAAACAATTTAATGATGAATGATGGTCAATGTCGAATTCCGCAGCATTGTGTAGCGGAAGGAAGCCATCCCCGGGGAGGTCCGCCATGTCAAGGGGCTCCTCCGAGGCGCATCCCCTTGGCCAACCAGATCCCAGCAGCTCAAAGGAGCCCCAAGCCCAAGTCCCGGCCATTTATTAAAAACGTGTAAAAAGTGATTGAAAATCCGCAAAAGATGCCGGCGCAGCCTGTCATTCGCCTTGAAAAGGACATTCTGAGGATACCATTATGGTGGCATTGCTTTGATTTGGAACGCTTCGATTTGTAATCCCCAACGAAATTAAGCGTGTGCTTGGGACACAATTAATATCTCCTAATTGGACTGGAATGCCACCTCCTATATTTAAATGTGTTTTAATGGAGACACTGGGAACGAGATTATTTTATATGGGCTTAAGGAATTTACACTTCAATAATCTGTTGTGTGCTTATGTCCCATTTAATTGGCTGTGCTTCACTTAAATATTTATCTTAAGTTACTACGAGCTTAAGAACATAGCACACATTTACATCATTTTGAACCAATATCTTGATTCCAATGATTCCAATATCTAAATAAATTACGATTACATTTCATTGAATCGGTTGGCTATCGATACTTTCTATCGATTGTCCGAAAACGTCACGCCTACATTCTTTTCTTTTTAATTTCTTAATTTTCTTCGCAATTTTGACCGATATTCCAGAAAACTATGAAACTTTTCTTTCGCACTTCTACTAGCTCAGTAACGGGTATCTGATAGTCGGTGCCGTTGACTACAGAATTCTATCTTTTTTTACATTCTTTTGTAATTTTTCTAATGTATGTTGTAGAAGTTCCAAAACATTAAAAAATGTCCCAAGGCTGAAGTTCTGAACTCCATAACTCAACTCATCTTAATCGGATTTTGAAGTGGCATATGAATAAATTGGTGACGAATCAATTGAAGGTGGGGGAGTACTCTATCCATGGCCATTTTATTATTAGTAGGACTACTCGTACCATAAAATTCTTATGGACTTGTTCCCACTTTTCTGGTTGGGATCGCAAGCGAATTCAATGTATATGTGAGAGCCTTGCCACGAAATAATATATTTATATAGAAAAAGATGTTGTTTTCAAAACGAAATAATTTTCTTAAAAATGAGAGTTCCTGTTCTCGGAAAAATCTGAAGCAATCTGCGGGATACCGATTGCGAATCATTATTCGGGACTTAAAACGGCATTTATCACATTGACAAACTCCCGCTCGACTGGTGGCCCCATTACTTATCCGTATCCGACCCCCGATCTCCATCCGATTTGTCCTCCGATTTCTCCGATTCAGTCCGGTATCAGTCATTCGTCATTCGTCATTCGTTCATTTGGCAATCAGAAATGAATTTTTTCCTATCTCCGTTTGGTGGGGCTTTGTTTGTTGTTCTGGAGCGCCGTCTTCGTTGCCCGTCAATTGGCATTTGTCAAATGACTTTGGCTCCGGGTACAGTTGCCTCGGCAGCTCCTTGGGCCTTCCTCCTGCGTCAGGATAAGGATATGTGTGTGCTTATATGTATGTATATGGGGCAGCAGCCCGACAAGCTCCGAATCTTTTGGCATATCATTTGAATTTGTGCGAATTTGGAATGGCCGTTTCCTGCTGGTCATTTATCTGGGCCTAATGCGCTCCATGACAAGCGAAAGCATTCCTCTCCCATTCCGAATCCGTCTCGTTCCACCTCATCTCATCTCATCCAGTTGCTCCAGCTCTCCTGCCCCCGATGATTAACAGGTTTCCGGGCTCCTCCGGACTGATTGTTGTGGATGCCACCGATGCCATCGATGCCACCGATGCCGCCGATGCCGAGGCACTTAAGCAGCCGCGTCCGCAGGGCACGGCGATGCCATAAACTCGGCCAGAGCCAATTAAGCAGCACTGAGAAAAGTATCTGAAACTTCGCATTTTTCATTCGAATTATTTGATACATAATGTGCATTTACTGAACTTCCAACCATTCAATTCGAACAATTATTTCATCTTATTTGCGTTTATTGTAAAGTATTTCAGTTCTTTATATTTTTCTCTCTTTTTCGTTTTTTTCGCAGCAATATTATCAAATTTCAAGGGTATCATTTTCATTAAGCAAATACTAAGCTAAAAATTAAATAATGCTCCGTTATAGATTAAGTTATAAATAAACTATTTGTAAACTCGAAATGTACGCTTTCTAATTTCTAAGTCATTTGAATTTTTCTGCTTAAATCAGCATTTTTTATAAGCGAGTTTTGAATAATCGCCGTTTCAATATAATATTGTAAGTATTATTTATGCTTATACCAGTTCGCAGTAGATACAATCAGTATATCCGATACGTAAATGTATAGCTTTGTCAATTCTACAATAGGCTTTTCTCTCACTGTTGGCGATGGCTATGGCCGAGTGACCAAAGGATGCCCAACAGGATCCCTCGGCTCCTTGGAGGAGGGCCTGGGAAATGTCCTTGGGCGTATAATTTTATTGTGATGAACTGATAATGTGACATTATTGTAACTCATTTGTCAACAAATTACGGCCTCTTGAGGTGGGCGTGGTCCTGTCCCGAGCCTATGTATCAATCAGTGTGCACAAGGATATCCGCACCTCCACCCCCACCCCCACTTCCCCTCCCAGCACGCACACAGCAAAGGAGGGACGCACACCAATACATAATAAATGAATCGTGCATGCATTGGAAAAGATCAAAAGTGTCAATAAAACAAAGGCGGGCAAACAAAACCCAAAGCGAACTGAATCGAACCCCAAAGGGGAAAACAAACATGGGGGTCCGGAGTCCGGAGTCCGGAATGGCATGGAATAGAATGGAATGGAGCCGAGCCAAATGACAAAAGTGGCAAACGTGGCATAAATTACACAACCACCACCCACTTGGGTGGGCTAGTTGGAAAAAAGGCGGCCAGCGGATATAGGAAACCGCGATACGAATCTTACCATTCCCTGTATTCCAATGCCAAGGACGACTAGGCATTAATGATATACTTACGTATTATTATCCCAGAGTGACAAGTATACATGTACAAGCCCTGCTCCATATGTATGTAGATTTGTGACACATATTTCCCGTTGACTGTGTGGCCGTGACTATAGCAATGCATAGCCCTGCAGGGTATCAAAGCACAGGACATCGGAGGAGCACTGGAAATTCCCGCTTAACAAGTGGTCTCCAGTGATGCGCGATAGAACTTCACATGGCCAGCGGGAATAGGGAGCGCCATGGTGAATCGGAATAGAAACGGGAAAGGGAACGTCCACATTTGACAAAGTAAATCAGGGAAAATTAAATGAATTATTGCCGCAATAAATGTGGGCGGATGACAATATAAATTGTGTATGTCGCCACTTGAAAGAGCGAAATAAATGCCAAACTCGAGCTGGAGACGCAGATGGAGTTGGGGACAGGGATTGCAGATGGAATGGAGTTTTCCGACCAGAAACTCAATTCAGATTATCTCGCTCCACAACTGGCAGACTGAAGACTGCCCTTTAAATTTGCGCACCAATTCAAAAGAAATTGTGGGCGTCTTTAAAACGCATTGAATGCAATTTGTGCTTGCACAAAAACTCAAAGGCTTCTCCCGGGAAATTAATTAATTTTATGCACACCTCGCTCTCGGCAGGTGCACAAATACCTGGAGTGTCACAGGCAGCAATAATCCAAAAGCTAAAACAATATCCCGCCCCAAGCCCCCCTTCACTGCCACTTGAGAAAGGACCTTTGTCAGGGCTGCTTTTTATATAGGGCATTTTTTATTTGCCATTTGGACTTTGATTTATTTCAATTGCTTATAATTTCCTGCACGAGTTTTCCGCTTTCCCTCGCCCCCCTTTTTTTCGGCCGGGTGCTCGCGCATAAGTAGAAATAAATAAAAATAGATTAATGGCCGGCTTGAGTATCCACACAATAAATCGCAGGGAGCTGGGGAAAGGCTAAACTATTTGCCTGGACTTTGGTGCACGCAGAGAAAATACAGTGCCTACTGCAGCCAGCATACAGAGGCTTTTCTCTCAGTGCACTGAGTGGCTGACTGCTACAGTTATGGTTCATTTAGCCTTGTCAGCCTC